TGGTAAGGGCGTAACAATATGGCAGACTCCGATCAACATTCCCAGCACAAGGATGAAGGGCGGTGAGAAGGCCAGCGGAGTGCGGAGGGTTCTGATGAAACCGGTAAAAAAAGGGCACACCGACAAGTAAAATATTCTAACAGTAAAGGTGTGATAGGAGGATATAGGAAGTGTGAATAGGCCATGGCAGAAGGGGAGATATCATAACTGTTTGCTCAAGGATCGGCTTCACTTGTCTCTTTGACGAGTTGTAATATGGTGCTACGAATGGCGAAACGTCTGGGAATGTACCACGTCCACGGTCCCACTTTGGAAATAATTATGCATACAATGGACTCAGGACAAGATGCGTTCCTATAAGTCTTCCTACCATCATGACCAATTTGCGAAAACAGGGTCAAACAATTTCTATACAACGAAAGGAGACTGCGACCACACTAAAGGCCACACCAGCTTGGTCTTCATATTTTCGAGCAAGTTTGTCAGTTAGTCACCCTTTCTTGTCCATCCTCGATAGGCAAAGAAAACAGTAAGTAACTTGTTTCATTTGCAAGCATGTAGAGTATGGTTGAAGTAGCCAACCAAATCAGGAGAGGCCTCATTAAGATCGCGATGTTGAGTGTATAAAAAGCGACTAGGGTTGTGGTCGGCTACGTTTTCTCTTGGTCTAGCATATTTTTGCCCTATATTTTGAAGTATGCATACCTGCTCCAATGATGCCTGCCACGAAGGTACAGAAGAAGGCTTTGGAAAATTTCATCGGGGTGACAGGACGATGAGTCGGGGACTTAATTCGAAAAATTCAACGCGGCAATCTTCCTTCGGTTTCCGGTGGGACCACGTCACCAATTCTTTCATACCAACTTTCCCCTCGAAATGGAGGATCATGTCACAATATATCACCATTTAATCTTCATATCTTAAAGAAGAGCCGGTCTTCACAATGAAACCAGGTGTCCGTCGTCATAATACTCTGCAACGACTTTTCCAACCCATTCTCTGGCCATTACTCAGACCTCAGGCTCTGGCCCGCTTACCGCTGCACAACCACGTGTATGTCTCTGCACCCACCTTACAGAATACAGAACTATATTTCGAGCAGTTTCCTGCACGCCTGCTCCTTCTTCAGCATCTACCTGTACCGATTTGTGGTCACTGCCGTCCACAGCAAAAGTGAGAAACGAACCCGTAAACTTTTTCGCCCTTCCTAAACCCCATTGTCCCCTTTCAAGTTGTGTTAGTATGCCCAGCTTGCCACGCAGTCACGGCGCAACCTTTTTGTATATTCTAGCCTCATGTCATGTTTATACAGATGTTGAAAGGTTTATTTTGCACAGCTTAGAAGTCATACATGCTTGAAAACTACAACTTGTGAATGCGTACGGCTCGGCAAACACGGACTCAAACAATAACACGAACAAAAATTGGTAGGTAGATAAAGTGACCATTTGCATACAGGCACAATATGTGTTTATAATAACCGTCTTAAAGCTTGTACAAATTCTGCTTGTTTGAGATGTCCATTTCAGCTGGTGCTTTGAAGACTAGTGCCGTCAGGCTGAGGTTTGAAAAAATGTGATATACACCACATTTTTTACGTCGATCAAAAGTTTTCGGGAGGAAGAGAACATACGAAAAAAAGCATGTTTAAAACACACTTATGCTTAGGCATTTATGCTGGCGGGCTTTCGATTGGCACTTTGGTCTTCTTCAAAATAATAAAAATCTTAGTTTTGATTGCAAGTGAGCCAACTAGACACGCAGACTTTTACAGGCTCTCCACAGCAGCATGTGAAAAGTGAATTTTCAGACGTGTGCGCCCCAGGTACAGCAACCTTCAAACTGCTCCATGCCCTGATGATATCTCATCAGCTCTCACCAGTGCCTGCTTAACTGTCCGCGTGTATGTGCTCCCAGTTCCCCGCGGATGGTGGTGCGTCCGAAGAGGAATGGGGTCAAAAACCCCGCCCATCGAACTTCACGTATTGGTCGGCGCCCATTCGAGTCGGAGAATGCCTGCGCCTTCTCCACACTTCTCGTGCAAGTCTCCGACTGCAGCAGGCTTTAACTCTCGCCCACTCCCCTTTCATGTGTAGGTCTACAATTCCCTCCTCGTTTCGGCCATAATCCCACCTCGTAAACTGCCACGCAGACGTTAGTTTATGAACAAATCTGCATCTGTGATAGCGAAGAGGCCGAGCTAGCTGCCAGGACCCAATGTGGAAAAAAGACCATTTTCGTGGGGCAGCATGAGGGCTGGCTGGTAGAGGAAACACAGCAAGACGAAGAGCATTTGCATTTTTTTGCTGTTAACCCCCAGTCGGGCTTACATCGAGTTGGGCCTCTGGTTTTGGTACTGCTCTCGCGTCAAATTTCCCAAGGCCCAATTCTCGAAAGGAGGCATCATGGATGTCAACCAGAGAGCTACTGTCCAAACGGGCTGTGACGATTAAGCCTTGCCAGGCTGACGATATTTCTGGCAGTAACAAGGCCCCAGTGACCGAAGTCGTTTTGTAAAGACGAAGAAAAAGCTGGTTATTTTTGGGAATTTATGCCATCGATCGGCACTTTAATCTTCTTTATAATAATAAAAATTTTAATTTCATGAAATTTGTGAATCTTAATTTTTGTGAAAGTCTCCACAAAAGCGTTGGCGAATTCTTTGACGTCAACTCACTACTTACGAAGATGGGTACTACTGTTG